GAAACTTAAACTAAACTAACTTTATTCATACTGGATAGCTCTGTCAGTTCTAAACTGTTCTTCCTAGAGGTCCAGTAAGGATCATCTCTTATTGATCCAGTGTTACTACAGGAGGAAACCTAAACTAAACTAACTTTATTTATACTGGATAACTCTATCCGTTCTAAACTGTTCTTCCTAGAGGTCCAGCAAGGATCATCTCTTATTGATCCAGTGTTACTACAGGAGGAAACCTAAACTAAACTAACTTTATTTATACTGGATAGCTCTATCAGTTCTACACTGTTCTTCCTAGAGGTCCAGTAAGGATCATCTCTTATTGATCCAGTGTTACTACAGGAGGAAACCTAAACTAAACTAACTTTATTTATACTGGATAGCTCTATCAGTTCTAAACTGTTCTCCCTAGAGGTCCAGTAAGGGTCATCTCTTATTGATCCAGTGTTACTACAGGAAGAAACCTAAACTAAACTAACTTTATTTATACTGGATAGCTCTATCAGTTCTAAACTGTTCTCCCTAGAAGTCCAGTAAGGATCATCTCTTATTGATCCAGTGTTACTACAGGAGGAAACCTAAACTAAACTAACTTTATTTATACTGGATAACTCTATCTAATTCTAAACTGTTCTTCCTAGAGGTCCAGTAAGGATCATCTCTTATTGATCCAATGTGTTACTACAGGAGGAAACCTAAACTAAACTAACTTTATTTATACTGGATAACTCTATCTAATTCTAAACTGTTCTTCCTAGAGGTCTATTAAGGATCATCTCTTATTGATCCAATGTGTTACTACAGGAGGAAACCTAAACTAAACTAACTTTATTTATACTGGATAACTCTATCAGTTCTAAACTGTTCTCCCTACAGGTCCAGTAAGACCAGTCATGTTACCTGTCAGGAAATTCCTCAGATATTGAGTGAGAGTGATACATCATTGTGTAGATCCCATTGATTGAGGATGGACTTGTTATCCTATGTCCAGCTGCACGTAGTCTGAAAAAAATACAAAATATGTACACAAACTTTACTTATACTGACTAGTTTTATCATTTCTAAACTGTTATTCCTAGAGGTCCAGTAAAGGACAGCTTGCATTAATCTAATGTTACTACAGGAGGAAACCTAAGATATACTGTTCTTCCTAGCTAGAGGTGCAGTAAGAGTCATCTCTTATTGATCCAGTGTCACTAAACCTAAACTAAACCAACTTCATTTATATTAGATAGCTCTATAGCTACCAGTTCTAAACTGTTCTCGCTAGCTAGAGGTCCAGTAAGAATGATTCTTTATTGATACAATGTAACTACAGCAAGAGACCAAAGTACCTGTAGAGGGCCTGTGGTGCTTGGTAGAGTCAAACAGGAAACACTCTTTTCACATGCAACTAAGTTGAAATTATAATCCAGACAACTCCAGGGAAAGGTTTCAAATTTAGCCTGCTATACCTTTCACTAAGGTCGTCATCCTCGCCACCCCAGCCCCAGTATCTGTTGGGATAACCATTGACAGCTTTGAAATGTTCGGTACTCACTGCAGACACGCCACCAAAGATTCCTTCATATGGGATACTGTGATCAACAGAAATAAAATGATATAAGAGGATCTGATGCGCCTCAGAGCAGTGGGGGGGGGGGGGGGGGG